TATTTATTTATTTATCAGGAAGAATACAAAAACATAGCATGTATGGGGTGGCCAGACTCATCTGATAAGTGTCGAGTGATTAACCCTGCTTAGCTGTCTTGATCTCTTTCTGTGATGTGATATCCCACATGGGTCTTCAGCGTTAGCTAAGTGTTTGATGCTGTTTTTGACAGCATTCTCTTGGAGAGGTTGGCTGCTTATGGCTGGAATGGGAATACTGTTGGCGGGTTGAGGAATGTCAGAGTTGTTGTGGACGGTGTTGGATGTGATTGGTAGCTGGCGGCAGGTGGTCTTCCATGGACTGGCTGTGTTTGAGATTGTGTTGGTAGTCTTGGTGGGGAGCAGTCTGAGTGTACGCTCGGTGGGTGTGTGACCAGTGCTGGTTGGAAAATCTGCTTGGGGTTGGAGAGCTGTTTGGAGGGATCCAGTGGGCTGGATCAGAGGGTCACAGTTGTGTGGTGTGGAGGGGGGCAGCTGTCCGGATATTTAGGCTGGGAAAGACCACAGTAATCAAATAGGGACATTGCTTTTGCAGCAATCCTCATACAAATTTCTGTTGTTTACTGTGTAGGTCATTGCAGCTGGTAGCAGAGAAGCTGAACTTTAGCTTACTTGAACAGCAGAGAAATTATTTTTCATTGTTTGTAGCATATTCCACACATGGCTCTGATACAACCCAACGGCCCATGGGACGTCATGTCTTGCAGTATATAATTTGTTACGTAGCTGACACTCTCATCCAGGCTAGGGTGTGTTGTATGCTGTGTGTGTGAATACGTACGTGATGAAAATTTATTGACCGCTGGAACATTTCTTTATTATGATCTCTGAGCCCTCACTCAGAGAATAAATAAAAGATGCACTTTTGTATGGTTTCCAGCCATTTATATTTTGGTACAGTGGCAATTTACTGGTGTGATTTGGAAATAATTTCCTTGCTTTTTGATTTCTAAGTGAAAATGTGCTTAAGTAGAGCAAGCACCAAAAGACCTTACCTTCAGGAGTGAGAAATGTATTACTGTATGTAGCTTTCCACAGAAAGGAGGTTGTGAGTGACTACGTAAGTGCAATGCACAGTAAAGCTTGTCTTGATAACCTTAAAAAAACACCATCTTTGAGAAATTATATTACCAAGTGCAAGATGTGTAGAACGCAACATTAAGTAATCCTGTCTGAATTTAGCAGCTATCACTTAAACATGTTCTGTATTTTAGGTTTTTTTAGCAGTATTGGCTTTACCTTGGATTTTTTTTCGTACCGCTTTTAAATCATAGCAATTATTGTTGATAATTTTGGTCTCAAGTGTAGGTAAATAAAATTATTTTGGTGAAAATCAGAGTGAAAAATTCTGGATTTCTTACTCATATTTAATTTGCAATGAAACTGTAATTCTATTTATGGAGACTTTCACTTGAGCATATGCCCAAGTCTGTTAATAGAACATAACGCTGTAGGAACTGTGTGTGTTCTGTTATTGAGTTGGAGCTCACGCTGCAGTACAAGCTCATAGCTGAAAGCTGCCATCTCACGTGCAGGTCAGAGCTTTCACTTGACTATGAGCAATCCTACTATTGCTTGCTTTCTTCTCTGAAGGCATTGCTAATAAACCCTTGCTTGTCATATAATTAAGTGATCGTTTGTACACCCAGCTGTATCTAAGTATTTATCAAGATTTTCCTGATGGCTCACAGCTTTTTTTTTTTTTTAATACAGCCACAAATATAAATGCAACGATTTGTACTGTGTGGCAGTATTTAACCACTGCAGCTGGACTTGTCTGTATACTTGTGAATGTGACAAAAAAAAATGAAGCTGTAATATAATTGTAAGCGGGGTTTTCTTTGTTATTTTTTTGTTCTTTTTTCCTTCTGAGGTGTGATGCCAATTAACAGCATGTTGACTTATCAGACGCTGTGAGTACAACCATCGCATTTCCCAATGTAGGATGGATGGCTGATACTTCAGAAAGTTTATAGTGTGCCACAACATCAGCTTTTATTGTATTTCAGTGTTATAACTGTCAAATGTATATTTTAAAAGGCTTCAATTTCACAAAACTGCGTTACAGAGTTTTGAAATCTGATGTGATGTTGACAAAACAGTTATGCTTATTACTTGTCGTTGTCTTAAGGATTTCAAAAGACATTTGATAACGATGCTAAGGAACTTAGTTTTTATTTTTATTGAAACATTGTTTAAAACACAAGTTATGTATGGCTATAATAGTTGTCATCTTAGTGTAACATGACATTTTTATATTTAAGTATCTTATCTATTCTTTATCAGCCACCTCTGTATTCCATTTTGAAAATAAAAAAAATAAATGCTTGTTTTGGCATGTTCATCCAAGTGTACAGGTAAGTGAAAATGCTACTTAAGACTCATCCAAGTCAGTCAACCACTTGATTACCATATGCTTCAGTTTCACACTGAAGTAGCAACAGTGTATGTAGGATATAGTCAAGATAGAAGTAATAGTTTGATGAGATAGCCAATTTATTTTTAAGAGAAGAAACAGAGCACCATTGTTATTTCCGGATTGCATAGCATAGTAGCAGCAATACACAGTCGGGTTCCAGAGATGCTGAGTTTTACAAGGCAGGAGGTGTACAATGAGGAGACTGTGATACATTCTGTTCCAACCCACTGCTCTTAAGAAGTTGGGAAATGAAAGCCTTAGAAGTACATCTAACTTGATCCTGTACCTGGGCAATACTTAATCAGTTAGGGGGGGTCTTATACCATGATGTTTTCAAGGCCATCAACTTTATATGCATCTGTAGTATTTGCAGCTGATAAACTGTAACTCTTATGAACAGCATTCAGTGGAAATGAGAATATTCAGAGCCCCATTTGCCAGATGGAACAAATATTTTCCTCAAGTATAAGACTGATGTTTGGCCCCTGACAGTTGGTGGGATTGGAATAGTGATCCCCAGTTTGTTGCATACCTTGGCAGCAAAGTCGTCGTCTTCAATTCTGGCACGAGCGATTAATTAACCAGGGCTGTCTGGCAGCTGGAATAAATGGTACAGACTGTTACTCAGCTGCGAAATGAGATAGCAAAGTTTGTTTTGTTATAAAAGGTGTGGAACAATATGGAAAGAAGGCAGCAGACTCCTGTCTCTGCTGGCCCTGATGACTGCTGGAGGGGAAGGAAGGGCTAATCCTGCTGGCATGAGGGTACCGATAGCGTTGTTCTGCATCGCCCTGCTTGGTAGCGTGCATCACACTAATATGTGTTAAGATCAGCTCCTGCAGGTGTTACTGCTCTGTGACTGCTTCATTGGCCTAGGTGATGAATGATCTGTATGACTTGCAAGCCAACAGTTTGGTTGCAAGTTTGAATAGGGTAGTAAGTGGGACTGGCACAAACGTCTGTTAAAATGTTAATAGAAAATGCTAGCACAAAGAAGAGAATATTGCCACCCTTGAATGCTGTTCTTAAGCTTTGAAATGAGCTCTACCAAACCTCTGCAAGAACGTGAAGATGAGTTTCTGTTCCACGTAAGGCAACGTCAGATATTTCATAATTGGATGCAAAAAAGTGCATGCAGCAGTGTCTGAATTTATGATGACCTCTTGAGTTTTTTTCTGACTAATTGACATCTTTTGATTGAATATATTGCATGGGGCAGGAAGACAAAACAAAACAAATAAAAAATATCTTCAGAGCATTTTTTCCTTGACTGGTAAATTGTGACCATTGCCACAGGATCTGAACTTGTTTTTTCCAGTCTGTTTTACAGATAGACAATTGCCAATGAGAATCCGATCTCCAAAGTACCACTGGGAAGAAAGCAAAAAGCCTTTCCCTTTTTCAGGGAAAAGGGCAAAAAGCAAGATTTGACGTAACGTCAATATTTTTAAATCTTCCTCTTACTGTAGGATTTTGGATCTGATGGGAGTTCTTATAATTTATAGATTTCTTCACAAATATGCTTTCTATTCCCTGTATCCATTATGGTAAAGGTGCACTTCTCATGTATCAATTTATTAACTGAAAAGCATTTTAAAAGGCAACTTGCAGAGGAAGTCTGAGTAGAAATGTTGTGAAGGAACAGATAACTTCTGTTCCTGACATTATCACAGAATTCAAGTTACAGTTGTCAATCCTCATGAAGATACTGATTCTGATTTGAACGTATTGTTTGGGTGATGCTCAGGAACTTGGTGAGATACAGAGTCCCTGTTGCTATCGTTTATAATTAAACTGTCCATCACTTCTCTTTGTGAAACTGCTTAGTGAATAAATAATTAAAGGCCTGATTTCAGTATGCTTAGTTGAAAGAGATCGTCCTAAGAACAGACCAAATGCATTAAATGGAGTTTTTTTTTTAAGTAAGGATTCAAGATAAATAACGGTATTAGAATTCTAGTCAAAGCAAATTTGGTTTTATTAAGACAGCGGGATATTCTGGTTTATATGATTTGAAATGTATTTCTGTGGATATCTGAGGAAGTTCACTTAGGAGCAATGCCTAATATTGCCTATCAAGCCTAAACTCATTATCTTTTAAATACAGTTGGAATTTGTCTTAAAATGAATGGCTGGATAAGCGTTCCCTACTTATTCAAACATCCGAAGATGAACGCGTTGCAAATCTCATGGTTTTGTGCAGTACAGAAACTTTATAAAGCTTTGTTTTATCTAATGAGTTTATTTTATCTGCAAATGTCTATTTGAGTGAAGATGACTCTTTAGCTGTTTAAATGATGTTTAATTTAATATTTAAAGGAAGAATTGCACTTAACTGACATTTCTTTTGATGGTTTCTCCAATAACCAGAAATAATTGAGGGGAAATCCTTAAAATAATTATTATTTTGTGTGGTCCTTGTCTGTTTCAGTCAGAAACCTGCTTCTGTAAGAATTCAAATAACTCTAAATATGCACGTCCCTCACAGCATTGACAGGGAAAATTTCAGTTGATTTTCTGCCTTGAAATTAACCTTTTACTATCGCATGCGTATGTTTGTCATTTATCCCCTTTTTCTCAGGTGCAAAGAGGGCTACCAAGGAGTCCGCTGTGACCAATTTTTGCCGAAAACCGACTCAATCTTGTCAGATCCAAGTACGTCAAATGTTTTCTTACATATTTATTCTGTTCTGGAGGCTATTCTTGCCACGCGAGATGACCCTTTGCCTATTGTCGCAAAAATGTATTATGGACCTCTGTAGTTGCATGTAGGGATTTGGATTGCATTTGTTGATTGAAACAAAAGTACACATCCCCCAGTCTCTGTGCTAATAAAATATGGTGCACTGCAGCAGAACAGGTCATTAGGAAACTCGATTCCTTACGATTTGGATTAGTGCTATCCCTGTTCAAAACCAAAATGTTCATGGTTCTGCACTTTTGACTTGAGAACGAGTGAAACTATATGATATAAAAACAGATGAGTTCAGGCTATGGAGCGGTCCCTACAAAGAAAAGGAGTGCTTGTTGTCCAGAACCTCAGAGATTATAATATCTACACAATATCTTCTTTATTATTTATTACTTTTCCTTCAGTTTAAACAAAACTATATTTTTCATTATATGAGTGACCTTGCTCTGTGCTTACGGAATAAAGATGTGCTGCTTTCAGTTATTAATATGGAACAGAACTTTCTATCACATCTGTCAGTATGTGCTAGAATACCCGTGCGTATGTTCTGCTCCTCTGTCCCACTTTATAAATTCTACTGACTGTTACAAATACGTGAGAAAAATATTAAGATAAAATTTTTGAAAGAAAATCCATTTACTAATGAACATCATTCATATTAAGTTTTTAAGCAAAGTGACATACAGCAAAGGGTCATATCCAATGTGTCATTTTTATTCTTATTTCTAGAAACTCTAATGTATTTAAGTCTACTGCTTTTGGGGTACGCTTTAAAATGTCATTTGGATTGTTTTGTCTGTGCTTTTTGAAGAACAATGCTTGTTCTTCTAAGTCTTTTTTGTGCTTTCTCTTTATTTTCTTGTCCTTTTTTTATGTGAAAGCCTGTTGCCAAAGATACCTGTTGTTTTGTACTTCTTTGTCTTGTATAGCTCCATTATACTTGGCTTTGTATCTGGTTTTGCTTTTCCTTTTGCTTGACCTTTAACTGTGAAGTGCAAAGTCTATAATGAATAGGCAGATATTTATCTCTGCCAAGTCTTATGTGAATGTGTAAACATAGCGGTTGTATATACTCAAGGAAAAAGGTACTTTGCATCCCAAACGTTGGGGAAAGGAAACTGAACTAGTGAAAGGATGTAGTGGTTAAAAACTGATTGTTTCTAACAATGGACTTTGGTGGTATTCTCTCAAGAGCAGAGGTGTATAGTGTTTCACTAAAATTTATATGGACAAAATATAAAGCCCAGGAAAAGACCCCGGTATTAAGATGTGCCTAACAAATCCAGAAGCCCTGCAGGATTTGCATGCTGCTGATGGTATTTTTGGTTTTTATTTGCAGCATTCTTTTAGTTGCACAAATTTGTCTTAACATGGGAGACACTCCCGTTGATGTCTGACTCTGTTTCCATAAAATCGTAAATCTATTCAGCTACCTGTTTCTGCCCAGTATGAAGCTAAAATTCTACCGAAATGCCCTTTTTTTTTTTTTTAATTCATTAAGGTTCATATTCAGAAATACCTAATCAAGGTTCTGTAAGGACAGGAGACCTTGACTATGTTGATACAGATGCTCCTATGGGCCAATAAGTGCCCCTTGGCCAAAATAAATAAAGAAGGAAAAGGTGAATTAGATATTTTCCAAGTCAGTTTAGAAATTTACCTTGTATTTAATCCTCATTTGCATTCAAAAGAGGAAGACTTGCTGCTCAGCCCCATTTCTGTGTTCAAGCATAGTGTTGCTATGTATGCACATCTGTACTCGTTCTATGCATAACTCTTGTGAAAGACAGATTTTATTCATTTTCCATTGCAGCCAGACAGTGATAACATCAGAGTTAAATCAGTCAAGTATTTCTCTCTCTTCTAGTGAGAAGAAATGAATATCACATTGAAACTTAGTTTTTGGTATCAGTAATAATTACAGTTTGTGTAATCTGAAGACTGTAAAATGTGTTTGATACTCTTTTGGCAGTCAGGTGCAACACGATCATCTCCAATAGCTCTGGTGTTGATTCACAAAAATTTAGTTTTGCAGTTGAATGTTTGTTCAGATCAGAAAGATAACTGCTAAAGAATGCTAAATGGTGAATTGAGAGGTGGCTTCAAAAAGCAGGCATTTCTTCAAACACAAGGCTCAGTACCAAAAGCTGGGCACTTGGATGAGTGCTCTTGTGTTGGGACAGCACAAAGCCAAAGCCAGCACTGGTGTCAGTCAAGTTTTATAAGCAAGCCTAGCTCATGAGTCTTGTAAGAATTACCTAGGGTTTTTTTGTAGCAAATACTTTCTGAGCTCCCGTGGTACATCTGATATTAATATTTATCTTCTCTGAAGATTGAATGTATGAAAGATTGAAGCTATATGTTTTTAACCTTTCCTTGCCTGTGACAGTGCAAGTTACATTTTTAGAACATTGATTTGTTGCTAAATGGAAATTAAGTCTGAGCCACACTCAGAAATTAACTATCAAATTAAATTTATCATTATTGTGTGTGTATATATGTATATATATATATATATATGCTCCAGAGCGCATTTTTGAAATAGCCCTCTAAGACAGTTATCTTGTTCTATCTTGTGGCTTCTGTCTGAAGTTGCACAGTGTGATATGGCTCTGCAGTGCGTTCCTTTCAATACCAGGCCACACGTAGCTTCTTACCTCACTTTATGGCTCTCTTAGGCAGATCTTCACTGTACGGCACAGATCAGGTTCAATTTATATAATAGTTTATATGGATTATTGCATGCTATATTATGTGCATTTTGCCTAGTTAACGTGAACAGCTGCTGTATTTAAGATGCTGTTGTTGAGAAACCTCTTGAAACCACTGATGGTATTTCAGAGTTCACAAAGCAATTTCAGTGATTCGAAGAGGAGTACGAACCTTCTTCCAGTCGTATCTGTCACCTGCTACCCATTTTCAGGTCAAAGTTAGGATCAAACTGATAAGAAATCAGATGCAAGACGGAAAGACAGCAATCCCAAACCATGGTAAATGCAAGACCTTCTAGTGGACCTTCAGTCATAGGAGCTATCACAGATGCTATAAGTTTGCTCTTTCACTTCATTTAATTTTCTGCTATTAGCTAGTTTTTCTGAATGTAAGTGAAAAAGCAAAAAATAATTGAATTTACATATAAAAACAAAATATATTGGTTAATCTTGGAACATGTGTGAAACCTCTTTAGAGCATGGGAGTAGCAAGGAGCCTAATAAAATGAATAATATCGCCAAAAAGGGAAAAGGACTGCCTGTTGCATGACAGTGCAACTCATGCTCAGAGTCACTATCAAGAGGAGGGAAGCCATCAGTCTTCGAAACACAGAGCAATACGAGCCTACAATTATTGTTCACTCTTCCCCTCCTCATGGATGGAGGAAGGGCTAACATGAGATAGCACTCATGAGCTGAAATGAAAGGAGTATATTTGAAATATTGCTTCAGCTTTCTCCATTTGAGCTAACTCCTCTTACACGTACGGTTCATGGCAATGGTTACCACTTAGATTTTCAACATTATAAATGAAGCTTTTATATAACTTTATGTACAAGTCATTTTTCAGGCATGTGTAGTTCTGTGTTTGTCTGTAGGACTGGAAACTTCTATGCAGCCTAAATTGTACAAATACTCACGTACTATCCTTTATAGTGTTCTGGTGTAGACCTGCCTGGTCCAAGGAGTCTTGAAAGGTAAGTTGTACCTAGGCTGCAGATATTCCATTTAATTAATTTCTACATTGAGGCAAAGTGTAACCTCTGTGCATCTGTTCTTAAGTGTAGAGGAAAGCAATCAAGAAAGCAATTTGTCATATAGGCATTATTTGATGGTGGTGGATTTTTTTGTTCACCAAATTCTGTTGAACTCAATTCTCAAGTATTATATCCCTAACAGTTTCAAAGGCTACTCTGCCATGCAAAGGGAAATGTATTTCAGTTTTATAATGTGCAGTATTAATTTTATATGAGACATAATAATACTTGAGTTTTCCCATTTGACCTTAAAAGAATAAATGAAGAGGAATCCCATCCTGTCGTTTTTCAAAATAAATGGGTTATTTTCTAGAAATAGGAAAATAGGATGGAAAACTTAAAGGTTATTAAGCCATGCTTTTGCTACTGCAGACAACCTTATAATGTCGTTCCTTCTGCTGTCTAATCAGACTTCATTTTTTAACAACTTAAAACTAGTGTGAGTGGGTCACTAGAAACAGTTTTTGTTTTTCTGAGAATTTCTCAATTCTCTGAGAATTTCAGATTCCAGACAAAATTTGTTCACAGCCAGAATCTATCCTTTATGTTTTTTGTTAAAATGTGCACCCTCTTTCTATACTGAATTTTTTTTTCCATCACTTTGCACCAAAAGAATCACATTATGCTTTGGGTTTGTCTGTCTAGATTTTCTAATGTCAGAAGTCTTGTTCCTGTAGACTTAGCTTTAGCTTGTGGTCAGACAATACCCTAAC